AGATTAATGTCTTATTTAAACTCTGACCTGACCTATTTTGCTTAAGAGATGCCCCCCCCCCATCCTCTACCAAGTTAACCTTCCTCTACATCCCTCGATCTATAATGACATTTGTTATCCTCTCCTCTAGTTTGTTGATCCATCTGGTTTTTCCTTTTACACTATAAATTTCTTTGAATGCATCCTCTTACCCCTATTACTCAAAAACTACTAGTTGTGTATGATCCATTAACACTTGAGATGTGAACAGGAAAAAAGGGAGCTTCTACTTATAATTAACTTTTAAATTATTAGTACATCTTACAGTTGTCTGAAAAATCCTTTAGCTTAAAACATGTTTCCTCATTTTGAAATGAAGCAACTGTTTTCTTTCACTCATCTAGTCACGAGCCCAACTGTTTTAGTAGATTAGAAGCACGGAGAAAGGTTACTTGGCCTTCTCTTTATCTATGAAGAAGATATCTCTCTGTCCAAGATATATTTAGAAAAAAAGATTTTTTATAGTTGCTATTTTCATCCTAATTAAAAAAATTATTTCCATTTTGTAATCTTTAGGTAATAAAACTAAGGAACACAAAAGTACTTGAGCAATTCAAGCCCATAACACTTAAAATTTGCTTCATCCAAATTCTACTAACCGTGCATGTCTTCCTGCAGCATTTGCTATCAAGAGCTGAGTCTTACACCTAGTCTTTAGGCCTAGCTCAAGATTGTTCCATGAAGGAGAAACCAAGCACTCCTCTTGCCCCTGGTATCCAGGTGCAGGTAACCTTGAACTCCTCCTTCCTTGGCACTCGCTGGCCTTGTACACCAGCCATCTTTCAATTCCCTTAAGTTACTTTATAGAGATCTCGTTTTATATACACAATGTCTTGCTCTCAAGTAGATGGTCAATAAATATTTGCTGGTTCATTTTCATATCAAACCCTAATTTAAATTTGCATCTTCTATACAATTAGTCCCTCATATTATAACTATTCCAAATAATGTATTAACAGCAGTTCTTAATACTCAGGGATTCATTCTTAAAATACTCTAGAAATGGGTAAAAAGTCTGGAAAACACGGCATGCTGTAGCCTACTCTTAAAGGTTCACAATGCACATCACATACTAGGACTGAAGTTCTTCAGAAGAGAAACCAGTTTAATTGTTTCTCATCTCACTTCAGGATTATAACAAATATAGAATGCTTTTGCAAAATGCAGCAGTATGAAATGCTATATGGACAAGCCAAGAGGTCCTGTGATTCTGAGACCATTTAAGAGTGGTATGACCTATAGGCTCCCCTGGTACTATGGCAGTTGGGGCTCTCACTGTTGTCTTAGAACCTAGTTATCTTTTATGGGGTTGTGTCTGGTCAACTCTGGGAGAAGATTTAACACGCGAAAGGGATTTGACAACAACTCATATATTTCCAATTCTATTACCAATACCACAGTCTCCTAAATATTTAGTACCATAATGGTACTAAAGACTGTCATGTTAATTTATAGCCCAACAAACACAATTTTGAGATAATGGCAAACAAACAAACAAAACTTACAACTAGAAGGCAACATTAATTTGTAAAATTTCGAATATATCCAATGTCTGACTTTTCCACCATTTCAAAACATTATGTCCATTTTTAACATAAAAATACCTTACTTCAAACTCTCAGATGCTGAAGGCAAAGGCTGTTTTAAGTTAGTCAATTCTTGATTATCTATGGCAAACCCAGACAAATTTCTCTACCAGCCCCAATGGACTACCTCCTCCTCCCTCCTCATTTAGTTTGTATTAGAAAAGTTAGAAATTATTTAATTCTAAAGCCAAAAATAAAGCGACTTTTTGAATTCTATTTTGACTGCTTTCTTCTACTACTCTATTTCCATGAGCAAACTCTCCACTCTCTATATCCTTAAAATAATGGAAGCATATGTATAAAAAAAACAGAACAAAACAAAGAACATG